GCCGCGCTGCAGGGGGCGGGCAGCGCAGGGGGCCAGGTGCTGCCGCCCTGGGGCTGGTCGGAAATGTAAGGGGGCAAAGAGGGTTAAACGTTTGCTAGTGGGGAGTGGGGGTCGTGTTGTAGGTGCAGAATAAACGGGCAGGGCTGAGTCAGCCTGGCTGAGAGGCAAGGGTTTCTTAGGGCACAATGATCAGGCTGGGATAAAGGTAGGCAGACAAGTTAGAGCTTGGGATGGAGGATGCTGCTGGGTCGTAGCACCATACTTTGCGTCTAGGACCATTGTGCTCTGCTTGTTCAGCCGATACGGTTTTTGGAAGGATTTAGTTCTGCTCAGTCAGTCGGATTTGGAACTGGTTTGGCTGCTTTGACCTGGAACATGAAATATAAAGGAAAAAAAAGACCAGTTTTCCAGTGCAAGACCTTCTTCCTCAGGTCTCTGAAGGCAGGAAGCTGGGAGAAGCACAGGGGAGGGGCTGAACAATTCACAGGTGTGGCAGATAGTTAGCAAAGAAAAGCAGCTGGGTACTTGGAGGGCAAGGCCTATCGAAGGGGCGGGGTTAGTTTTGCCTTCCTTGCCTGGAAAGTAAGTCCTTTGGAAAGCTTGTTCTTTCTGTCTCTGCCTTCAGAGTAAGGAGCGCTCAGGAGGGTTAAGGCTGTGGCGGAGAAATTAAATGAGCTCTTGTGTGTGCTCTAGCTTAATTCATAGAAGTCAGCTACACTCTTTGGCTGGGACCCAGATACTGCTGCCACTTCTTGCCTCTCCTTTCTGATGCTCAGCCATCAGGTAGCATGGATAAAGTGTCTGGCTGCCAAAGCTCCCTGGCTGTGGTCCAGATCTACTGGCTCTGTGGGATGGATCTGGCATGGGGGCTGTAGGTTGCTGACCCAAGTTAAACTCTTGTGACGGGAGCCACTCTTTCCAGGGGACAGATAAAAATGACTCAAGCTGAGGTGTTGGTAGATGAGACTATAGAGGAAATTGACAAACTAAACAGTGGCAAATTAAGCTCAGATGGTATTTTGTAATCGAGAGTCCTGAAGAAGCTCAGACTTGAAACTGCAGGTCTGTTAATTTTAGATGACATCACTAAAACAGCCTCTGGACTGGAGGGTAGCCAATACAATCCCGTTCTTTTAACTGGACTCCAGAGGAGATCTAGGGGACCTACAAGCAAGCAAGCTTAATAGCTATTTCTTGCAAATTATGTAAGAATCACTATTTACTGGGTCAGATCATATACTCATCTTGCCCAGTATCCTGTGTCACATAGTGGATTTATTGGAATTACAGTTAAAAAAAAAAAAAAAATGAGTTGTCTTCACATGGACAAACAGGACATGCTGGGGAAAAGTCAACCTGGCTCTTGTAAACGGAAATCATTCTGTATCAACCTATCAGAGACCTTACAACAGTGGGTCTCAACCTTTATAGGCTCAAAGAACCCCCTCCATAACTTCTGGGAATTGAGCAGCACCAGAGGTGGATTAAGATTTATTGGGGTCCTGGGCAAACACAAAATTGGTGGACCCCTCTAGAGGTGCACCAGTATATCTGCTGCATATCAGATTGGCACTGATAAAATGAAAATTACCATTATTGGCTGTTGGCTTTTTTTTTGACTGATTGACATCACTGATAAATGCCTTGTGTACATGGCCAGGAATGCAGCTGGGCAGCTTGGAGAGCAGTGTTTGGCCAGTCAGTCTGTGGGGGGGGAGCATGAAGGACGGAAGGGGGGATATGGAAGCCCCCATGGTGAGGGAGGGAGTGGGGCACTGCCCAGTCAGGGTGGTGAATGTGACCCCAGGGCTGGGAGTAGGATGGAGCCATGGGTGGCTTGTCCGAAAGGGAGGAGTGTGGGGAGGTGGGGTGGCTCCCTGCCTCTGCGCACACACCCCTGGAGGAAGCATGGGTGGCATGTGCCCTCCTGGATTTGTGTGGGGCAAGGGCAGGCTGTGGGGCAGGGGCTAGGGGCAGTGCCGGCCTCTTCCTGGTGCAGGGGCTGGGCTTGGGGTGGGCAGCGGTGCTGGGAGAGGGGTTTCTGGGGGGCTATGGGGAATTTTGGGGTGGCTATAACACCCAAGCCTCCCCGTAGCACCAACCCTGCTTAGGGCAGGGCTCCCAAGGGAGAGGCAGCAGAGAGGAGTGCCCTGAGCAGGGGTGTAGATATGGGGGGCTATAGCTACCCCAAAATTCCCCATAGCTCCTCTAGCCACCATTCCCAGCGCTGCTGCCACACGCCCTGCGCAGCTGAGCCTGCCCACCCCAAACACAACCCAGGCCTAGCCCCAGCCCCGCCTGCCAGGAAGAGGTTGGCACATTGCCTGGCTCCAAACCCACAGCAGGCAGCCCACCCACACACAAATCCAGGGGGCACATGCCCCCCATACCACCCCTGCATGGTGCATGTAGTGGTGTGGAGACCCCTCAACCTATGCCCCTCTGGACAACCTGCCCACAGATTCATCCCCGGGGTTGCATTCACTGCCGTGGCTGGGCATCTCCTGCCCCACTCACTTCCTCACTGTTGGGGCTTTCATCTCTGCGCGTGTCCGTCCCATTTCCCGCCCCCCCCCCCCATTAGACTTACCAGCAGGGTGCTGGCTGCCAGGCTGTGCTCCTGGCCATGTGTGCATAAGCACCTTTAATATTGCAGGTTCCCTCGCGCGCATCCCTCCACAACACCCTTGTTGCTCATCGACAGGGAAGCAAAAACCACGATTTTAAAGCCGGCATAGTTTTTGTCTCCCCACTGCTGACTGGTTGAGAGGCCCTGGCAGACCTGTTGCTTGCTGCCAGTGAGCAAAGAGACAAAAATGGCATCATGTTTATAACTGTGGCTTTCGCCTCCCTGCTGAAGAGTGATCCACAGGCGAAGCCTCCAGTTGGCCTGGGGCCCCTGAGGACAGGTCCCACTGGCCCTTGTGTTAATCTACCTATGGCAGGCAGCACCCCATTTCAAAAATGAATTTATTACTGAATTATTACAATTACTAATGAAACCGGTTTATTACAGTGTTTACCCCTTTGCAGAGGGCCGGGTAGTGGAGATGGGGTGGGGGGGACGACAGCCAGGCAGGGACTGAGCCAGCATGCATCTGTTTATCTTCTTGTACGTCGAGGCACTGTGGTTGAGAATCATTGCATTAGAGGACATAAGAAGCATGTGAATCAGGGTAATCTGGTTGGTACAGCGTATGTGGAATTTCAAAAAGCTATTCCACACCAAAGGTTCTTGATAAAATTAAGTTTTCAACATTAGAGGCAAGATCCACTCCAGGATCAATAACTGGCTAAAAGATGTGTACAAATGATCAATTCTCACCATGAACAGAGGTAAACAGTGGGGTTTCGTGGCTGGGGCCTCTGCTCTTCAACATGAAAACCGATGTTGGTAAGTGAAGTGATTTGTGGGGTCTGGGAACAACTCAAGGTGCCCACAAATGATAATGAGCTGTACATGAGCTGTTATTACCCAGGAAAAGTATCCTTGAGTTACTGTGGATCATTCTTGAAAAGCAGCATGAAAAAGGCAAATAAAATGTTAGGGATCATTAAAGGAATTGAAAACAAAATATAGACAATGTTGTTATGCTACTGTATACATCCACGGTACACTCACATCTTCACAGATTCACAGAAGTTTAGAGCTGGAAGGGACCTCATGAGATCATTGGGTCTAGCCCCCCTGCTCTGGGCAGTCTTCCCAGGACTTGATCTACTTGGAGCAGGAGCAGTATGTAGGAACTGAAAGGTGGATTAAAGATTAATATGGTAGAAATTGGATATTAGAAACTTTGTGAATTAGCTATGCATTTTACACTGGTTTTAGTCCAAGGACATGCATGTATAACAGGGACCTGTAACTATGGTCACTTTTAACCAGTAATGGCCTACAAGCATAACCACAAAAATTCCTTTCTTACACTAACTGCAAGGGTAAGCTTGGCATTAACAATGATAGTATCATGTATAAGTGTCCCAGAAAGTGGTACAGAAGCAGAGGATGCAGTCGTGTGTGCCAAGGCTCTTCCACAAGCCTTACCACTTACAGCCAGTGAGTAGTTTCACACCAGCTAATGTAGGCATTATATTAACAGCCATCCAAAACTAAGATTTTTTTCAGGAGGTATTTGCTACCTAGTGGGATGGTGTTGCCTTGCACTGAGTTCACTGGTCCTTTGGCACAAACTAGTCTGTATTTATTCCCTGTTACACAGTACAGTGGAATGGAGAACAAAGTCCATTGAGGCATTTGTAACAAAAATGCAGGCTAAAGCTGTAAATTAATTATATAAGCTTGTTCTGTACCATTTAGTAGCATATGTCTGCTGTTCACAGATTTCTGAACCAGATGAGTTTGATATCATGCTTAAGGTGCCAATTCCAAGAATACAGCTGGATGAATGTGATGCCACTGGTGCCTTTCATTATGTAACTTTTAAAAGACATCCTCAGAAACACCTGGACAAATTTTTAGATGATGATGGAAAATTATCAGCAGACACCATGCTTTTATCAGTGAGGAATATTATTAAAGAAGAAGTAAAGAACATAACAAGTAAGTATGCAACAGATTGTATTTTAATTTAGGGATCTTAATGAAAATAATGTTGTGCATGCATTATTTTTAGCTTGTCGTCTTGTCTGCGGCTATCTGGGCAAAAATATGAGAAATCTACAAATATCTAAGCCGGTCCTTATCACAAGGGACAAACAATAATCACACTAGTGCTAGGTTATCAGCAGGGATCCAGGTTTTCCATTTCCCATGGAAAAACCATGGCTTTTGCCTGAGAAGAATGCAGATTTTTCATTTTAACAGAGAAACATGCGGATTTTGCTTTTTTGCAAACGGCTCTCTACAGGCTGAAAGAGTTCTAGCCTGCAAAGGGCTGGGGGGAGTGGGAGGAGGGTGATCAGGCAGGGGGCACTAGGTAGCCTGGAGAGCCGCTCCCACAGGTAAGTTGGGGTGGGGGGTGGAGAGGGGGGGAATTGAGGTTGCCATAGGGAAGGAGGGAGGAGCCAGGTGGTGCGGGGGACTCAGGGCCCAGGGCCAGCAAATGCAGCTGCGGAGCCCCAGCAGGGCGGGGGATGGGGATGTGGGCAGCTCATCTGGGGGGGGGGGGGGG